ATATGCTACCAAAGAAGACCTGAGTTATATAAAGGTAAAACATGTGTAGTATGCTTCAGAACAGAAGAAACTTTTAGCTACCTAGCTACTTGCGAGTTATATCAAGGGATCTGGAAACATACAGAAGAAATAATAATAAAGGAACTAGGTCTGAAAATACTTGAAGAATGAGATTTATTGGTATCAAGTTCTAGTCTTGCGAGTACACTCTTAGATACAAACTTAGAGGAAAAGCTTAAACGAAGAAAATTACACCTTCAAAGCTTCATAAGCAAAAAACAAACTAACAATATTAGATTATTGCTAAGCTCCAGATCTAAAGCTAACCGAACAATAAGTTGGTCTATTGATATATTTTGGTTCAATTTTTATAAAAGATTATAGAAGTTTCATTGTGAAGTTATAGCAAGTTAGGAAAAAGAAAATAAGATCAATATGCGAAAGAAGAAAGGAAAAAAGAAAAAACAGTCTAGGTTTAGCCTAGCAAACAAAGAGAACAATGCCTCAGAAAACTCTCAAAAGAAAGAATCAGTAGCTGAGAAAAGGGAAAAAATTCTAAAGAATTCAAACAACCAAATCTCGAGATGGATTGAAAATGCAGATCACGAGAAATGGTTAAAATTTAAAGTTAAATAGGCTTTCTTGATATAGGCTAGTAGTAGTTTTCTTTTGATAGAGTCTAAATAGATATATTTAAACATATGTTTAGTCTCAGGAGAAAAATACTGCTGCAGCAGATCGCACTTGGGTATCTTTTAGACAGCTGAGTGAGTCCAGAATTATAATAAGGAGGGTAGTTTTAAAAGTAGAATAGTTTTTTTTTTTTTATTATGTACCTGTCTAAATATTTTTTAATATTTCTCCTAATAAAATGAAGGGCAAGATCGCCTAAGTAAAAAAAAAAAAAAAAAAAAAATACTCTATTAACAGTCTTACTTACAGGCAATTTTATCTGTAAAGATAAATAATAATAAAAAGAAATAATTTAATTAACTATAATAATTAAGTTTTTGTTATAATATTGATATGTGAGATCTTTGCCTTGAAAATGACCTTACGGGACATAGTAAATCATATGGGGTGTCTCCAATTAAAACAGCCCATATTTACATATATCTCATTTTGAGATAATTGAGTTAATCATTTGTTTTGATTTTCGGACTAATACGGATTAACCAAATTTCACGATTTTGATTGGTTAAAAGTAACATGCGACTATCGGGTAATCTCGTGATATGCTTCGCTCGTGTAATTTTTCTTCTACATTCTTCTACATTAACTCTATTTTTCATTATTCAAATCGACTTTCATTTATAATTGAAAAATATCAATCATGTCAAAATATACATGAATTTAATAAAAACTCATTTTTTTTAAAAATGTAAATATGGGCTGTTTTAATTGGAAACACCCCATATGGGCTAGGAGCTGGAAAAAGGGCCGAAAATGATAATTTTTTCAAATGAGTTTTTTTTACATAAATCAATTTAAAATTAAATTAGAATTATTTTTCACTTAAGATACAAAAGTAGTTGTATTAATAAAATTTTGCAGTATAGCTCTTTAAAGTTTGCATTTTCTTATGATTTATTATAAGATTTATAATATAAAAATTGATTTTCCGAAGATCTTTTTTTTTGTCATTTTCGGCCCTTTCTCCAGCACCTAGCCCATATGATCCAAACTTGATTTTCAAGGCAAGACCTATTTAAAAAAATAACTATCTATTTAAAAATCTTTGTATTCATATAACAAATTTGTTCAAGTTCGTCTCAATCTAATGATAAATTGTAACTCGTTATTAATTCATACTCAACGTCAAATAAAATACATGAATTCAAATGCATTCCTTCTCTAAATAAGACTAAATCTACATTACGTATAAAATAAAAAACTGCTTAATTTCAATTAATAAATTTTTAATAGAGAATATATTCCGTAAAAAGAAAATGAAACATCTAACCCCTTTATTATTCGCGAATAGGCCTCTCCTCCTTCCATCATTCATGTTCATCATTTATTTTTTAAGAAATAAAATCAGCCTTTAAAAAGCGCAACTATCATAGTAGATTAGACAATTAATGCAGGTAGAAAGTCTGATAAATTATTATTATTATTTTTTTTTTTTTCCGGCATGCAATTTAAAAAAAATCAGATTCGAAATATATCTTATATCCAATATATAATGATAGAGATGATCTTAGAGCCAATCAAATTTTTTTGGCTTAAACGAATGCATTTCTGCATTTCATATAAAAATTGACCCGAGTCAAGTTCATTTTTGTTTAACCAAGTAGGTTTTATATTAGGTGCTTGAATAGCAGTAATAACTGTTTTTAATATTTTATTATAATTGTTCAAGCGAACGCACTTAGTTCATAATCAAATACACAATGAATAGTTTAATATTACAACGAAACTTTATACTAAATTTAAATGGTATTTTAATAACGTTATATCTTACCTTCATATCAGCACAAGATCCAGGGAATATTAGGGAAGGTTATTATCTTGAAACTGAGAGGATCGGTGAAGATATACCACCACTTCCATCTCAAAATGGCATAAATAACCTATATGCTAATATAAGTATGTCCTTGAAACAAATGTTTTTCTGCCTATCGATATATGCTATTTCTTTATAATCTAAAAAAAAAAAAAAAAAAAATTCTTATATTAAAAAAAAAATAGCAAGAGAAAATGATTACCCAATGGATGGTGCTAGCTATTTAACAGGAATAACATTGATTATAACAGGTTTAATAATTCTGTTTCGAGGCAATAAATATAAATGGTTATCAATATTTTTTGCCTCATTCCATGGAATATGTATGCATGTTTACGAATCATCCACAAATTAATCTACCAATTTAGTTTAAACCTAATTTTTTTTTTTTTTCTTTTTATAATTAGGTATAATATTAATGTTGTTTATACTCAAGTACCAAAATGTAACAAATCCCTCGTCGACTGTTCGGTTTGTATATTTTATAATAAGTGTTGGTGCTGGTACAGCAGCTGGTGTATTTTTCGTATTATTATGGCCAACGGGAAGGATCCTTGTCGGAACACTTGGCGGTTTTTCACTAGCGATGATCTTATTATCAACCAGAACAGATGGTTTAATCTCTAATCAAATAGGGAGATGGATATTTCTTGGAACTTGCTCAACTGTAATGTCTATAGCTGCTGGATTTCAGAAAATTTATCAGTACGTTGCAATTATTTCAACGGTTTCCTCCGGATGTTATTGTCTAATACTTGGTTTAGACATTTTTGCACGTGCTGGAATATTAGCTTCTTTCAAAACTTTTTGGGGGTTTACACAACCCGATGATTATCGATATATAGTAGATATGCACGTGGCAATAATACTATTAACGATTGGGATAATTGGTGGAATGTTTGGTATTGGCATACAATTATTGGAACTATGGATAAGACAAAAAAATGATCGGTCAAAAATCGAGGTAGATGATGAGAAAGAGAGAGAAAGTCTTGATTCAATAAAATTTAGGTCAATAAGAAAAAAATTATCAAAAGCATTTAATAATCCATTTAAACGACATTGACGTATAATTTATTTTTTTTTTTTTCTGTTTAAAATATTGAAATAATTTCATTGGGAACATTTGCATCGCTAATTTGGAAAACCAACTTTATTTCCTTATTATACAAATAATTTTCATCACTTGTACAATATTAATATTTTATACCTTAGTTCGCATTAGCGCATACATTTCAATCGCAACAAATATGTAAAGATTAGAGTTGTTAGTGAAACGGGTGAATGGTGGTGAAACTATGTATAATAGTCAACTAAAATTAATGAGTGAAACTCGGTATTTGAATTTCAACAGAATGCTAATTTTTAGCTCTGAAAATGATTATAAAAAAAAAAAAATAATTCCAATCTCTATAAAGCTTCAATATAAATCACCATGTTATGTATTATTAGTATCACAATTTATATTACTCATACACCAAATTCTAAAAAATTCTCACAAATTATAAATATACCGTACGTCACGTGATATACGCTTATAACCATTTTTTTTATTTCATAATTACATATGCTAACTAGACATTATTACTCTTTCTGTCTATTGTATATTCGCCGTCCGTTAAATACCTTCAAAACCAAAATTAAGATAATAATAAATAAGCTTGAATTGAAGCATTGCATTTTTTTTTGATAGAAAATTCAAAAAGCATACATACCGCAACATTCGCAGTCTTGTTTGTGCAGGTGACTTATTCCAAAAGAAAATAGTGTGCTAAATGTTAGTGTCAACCTTGTTAAAGTGGATATTCGCTATTAAGATCGTTAATTAGCCCACCTCTTCACTAGCAATAGCATGCATTGCTAATATAGAATACTTGTGTAAAGCATTGACAGCACTTTGGCGTACTTCCTCTTGTTCGCTATCTGCCCTTTGCGAACGCGCAACAACCTTTGAGGAAGGAAGATCTTGTAATCTTGAGTTCTCTGAATCAGCCATTGTAGAAAAAAGATTACGGACACAATATAGACCTAAATTAAGGGTAGGGTATCTCATCGAAATGTTACACATAAGTTCGTGGCACAGGTAATATTCGTGGCACAGGTAATAAAATTGGCATGTCAACGTAGGCAGCCTTAGATTAAGGCATGCTTTTTTTAGGCATGCCTCAGATTTAAGGCATGCCCCCTAGGGCTAGCGCATATTTGCGATTGCATAAATCTGATTTTTATCGCGATTGCGAATTTCGCATATAAGGGCTAGTTTCGCATAATTAATAGAGGATAATCTGCGCATTAAGTGAGCAACTAACTAAGGGTGTTCTCAAGCGCCTAAATCAATGGATCAGAAATCAGTTTTTAATTAGCGGGAAATAATTTAGCCGATCAAGTGAGTTCTTCGCAATGAAAAATAAGATATTCGTCACTCAATGGATCTGGAATGAAATTTTAACTAGTCAAAATTCGAATAAACTAATCAAGAGAGTTATTATTTCGATGAATAAAACCTGGAGCTGCGACCACCATAGAGTTTGCCCTGATTGGCTAAAATTTAAAATCCGCAATTCGCACAATGAATTTTCAGCATATCGTTACTATTTAATCGTAATAATCACTTTTATTAAAGCCAATTTATTTATACCGATATTTATATACTTTAAATTCAAAACTTGTTTGCGTTTAAAATGATTACATATTTTTATCTGTAGTCGCATATTCCACATGTAGTCACATATTTCTACCTGATTCGCATAATTCGCAGCATATTTTTAAAAATTTATAGCATAATTTCGCAGAAAGTGACTAGCTCTAATGCTCCCAATTTGGATCTTGCGATATAACGTGATATTTAATCAACTGAACGTTTAATTACTGGTAATTCTGTAATTAAAGAAAACATAATGCTAATAAAAGTACTAAGACAAAAGTGCTCATTCTCTAAGCACAAGTAAGTAAAATGTAATTCTCTATAAATGTAGATTTTATTAGTCTCATCTTTTAATGAAGATTCTAAATATAGCTTTTTACTATATAGTTACATTAAATTGCACTTAAGAACCAACTTATTGAAGGATTATAAGATTACTATACTTATATTTAATGAAAAAAAAACTACTATAAAACTTCACTGAAAAAAATCTTTATTTGCTAGTAGATGAATATATGTAATTTTTTTTTTTTCTAATCAGAATTTTGAGCCAGCTTTGATTTAAATTTTGCAATAAGTATTTAATTTTTTATTTTATTTTTCTATATATATTACTTGTTTAATATAATCTAAGAATTTTTGATATTTTAATTAGAATATATGTAAATTACAGAATTATATAGATTAATATCTATTCTAATAAAAGTAAAGATTTTTATAGAATATTTATTTCAATAAGTATATGAGTTTTTGAAATATATATTATTAGATTTGATAAATAATATTTTCAACTAACTAATTTTTTTTACTATTCAAATTTTGTAAATTAGAATAATCTTTATAAAGCCAAATAGTTTTTTGATCTTTTTCAAATATATCAAAATCAAAAAACTATTTTTTTTTTTTTTTATTTAGATAATCTTGTCTATTATTTATTAAAGAAAAGCTTAATTAAGCTACAAAAGTAAAAAATATATAAATATTCTATACTAAATTATCCTTCTTTATACTAATTTTAGACTCACTTAGCTACTTTCAAATACTCAAATATAATCTACTACAATAGCAATTTTTCTTATAAAAGCAGTATATTATATTTATAATTTACTTACTTCTAATCCTTAAAAGACTACTACTAGCCTTAAATCAAAAAAGTAAATATTTTCTTATATTTGATATCAATAATATTAATATCTTTATTAATTTTATTTTGCTCTACATTATCATATTCTTTTTTATTTTTATTATTACTATCATTATTATTATCAAATAATATACTAATATTTTAGGTCTGATGATCTTAGTGTAGTGATTAGATTGCCAGACTACTATACAAGAGGTTTGGGGTTCAAATCCTACTGTCGACAAATTTGAATAATTACCCAAACCTTTGTACTTAGCTTACAGTAAACTCTGTTTGTTTTTAGAGTTATAATCTTGTAAATCATATTGCACTAATATTAACTGGATATTAGAAGTGTGATGAGGTGTTTGAAGAGATATAATGTTATATGAATAAATCTTGATAAGATCTACAGACAGGAATCTGTATAGTAGAAATTTTAAGTTGGTGAAGTAGTATGGCTTTCAATAGTCATACTAGCTAACGTTTGATCTAAAAAGAAAACTATTATCAAAAGATATAGATTAAGTTAGATGTGTATAAATCTATTCCACAGAGAGAATTAGTAACACCAACTTAGCTTAGCAGCTAACTGAATTAGAAGAATCTACTTTATGAAATATCTGAGAAGATAGAATATAGAAAACTAGTAAAGAGCTATGGTAGAAACTAGAGTTATACAAATATCTACAAGAGTTTAAGCTAAGTAAATTCATAAAATAGATACAAACTACTCTAGTAGGTATGCTTCAAGATTAACTGGCTCTATGATACTTACAATATATTAGATATAATATATCTTGAGAAGACCTAAGCCATTCTGAATAAATAAATCTATAACGAGCTAGCTAGCTTAAGCGATTAGATATTGTAGTAATATTAGATTAGATTTGTATAGGTTAATAAACAGAGTATTTAAATAGGTAACTCACAGATAAGTTATAGGTATAGCAGTATAGTATAGAACCAATTGAGTAGTCTAATTATCTATACGATAAACTACTTAAATAGACAATAACTAAAGTTGTATGTGTAACTTGTTGTACACTCTTCATGTAATTACAAACAGTAGAGACTATTAATATATATCCTATATACAATTCTAATAAAATTCTTTCAGCAATATAAGCTGCCTTAATAACAAAAAAAAAATATATATATACTAATATTTTTTTAATAAGCTCAAATAATAAAAGTTATTTAATATTATTTTTTTTAGTTAAAATAGCCTTTTGAAATTTATTTTTTATTTGCTTAAGCCTATAAAATATATTAGATAAAAAGTAATTTTTAATTTAGTTTTTGTAAAATCTAAAAAAGAAAAAGTTATTTGTATATAATATTATAGAAGACAATTATAAAAATTTTTATAGTAAACTAATAAAAAGAAAAAGAATTGCTAATAAATTTTGTTTAAAATAACTAAAGAGATTTTTAAAAACTACTAATAAAGTTAAAGAGAAAGTTATTATTTTATAATTAATTAATTTTTTATAAAGTATACTAATAAGTCTAGTGACCTAGTATAGTAGTTGCGTTATCAGACTGCTATGTAATAGGTCTGAGATTCAAATTCTACTGTTGACAAATTTGAATAATACTTAGATCTGTGTACTAAACTTACAGAAAACTCTGTTCATTCCTGAAAAAGGCTCTAGAGGATGTGACAAAACTCTGTAAAAAATAGCATTACACTAAGTTAATCGTTGACATTAAGAGTATGATATAATATTATATGAATAAATCTGTATTAGATGTACAAGCAGAGGACCTGCATAGTAGTAATTCTGAGTTGATAAAGTAGTATAGCTTTCAATAGTCATATCAGCAACACTTAATCTGAAAAGAAACTGTTTCAAAGGATGTAAATCAGAATAGATGCGAGTAAGTCCATATCCATGATAAAGATCAGTAGCACTAATCTGGCTTGGCAGCTAACTAGATTTAGGAGAATCTACCTCATGAAACATTTAGAGAAATTGATTAATACATATTAGTGGAGAGCTACAGAAGAAACTGGAGTTGTACAAACATCTACAAGGGTTTAAGCTAGGTGAGTTTATAAAATAGACATAGGTCGCTCTAGTAGGTTTGCTTCAAGATTAACTAGAACTCTGTATACTCATAATATGATGAGCAATATGTATTTCAAGAGAACCTAAGCTAGTGTTGAAAAATAGATCTGTGATGAGCTAGCTAGCATATGCAGTTAGGTGTTATGTGATATTAGTTTGTAACAGAAATAGGTTAGTTGAACAGAGTGTTTAAATAGATAACTCACAGGCAGGTTACAGGTATAGCAGCATAGTGTAGTACTAACAGATAATCTAATGCCTGCATAGTGGACTACTTAAATTAGACAATGACTAAAGTTGTACTTGTAGCTTGTTATATACTCTTTATGTAACTGAAAACTATAGGGAAACCTCATGTGAGACCTCATATATCAAATTAATAAAAATCATTTGGCAATATAAGCTACCTTAAAAATAAAATAAAATAAAATAAAGTATGCTAATATTTTTTTATTAAAGTTCTAGGCTTTTGCTAACTTTAAATACTCATATAAAAAGTAGTTTCTATTTATATATCTAGAAATTGCTATGTTTTTATAAGTTTGAGAAAGAAACAAAGCAACAAATTAAATATTATTTAAAAATTTTTTTGTTCTTTTGCTAATAATAGTAAATATATAAGTTTTAAAATTAATTATAAGAATATCAAACTTAAATATTTCTAAATATATATAAATTAGTTCTTTAAAAATATTACTGAATATTGCTTCTTTAGACTCAAACTTTCTAATTATATTAATAATAAGTTTAATTACTTTTATTAAAATATTATTATTAGTAAAATAAAATTTATTATTTATAATAATTTTTATGTTATTTTTGATTTTTAAATAATTTATTTTGTCAGATTTGCTCAATTTTAAACAATATTAAAAGCTTTTTTTAAAAACAAATATATTCAAACAAACTTTCAAGAGGAAATACTATTTAGTTTCATAAAAAATACTTAAAAAATGAAGAATTTCTTGTTTTTTTTACTAATTCTATAAGATTTGAAACTATATATATAAACTAGTAAAAAAATTAACAAGTTTCTAATTTTTTTTATAGATAAAAATAGTATAACTAAATCTAGTAATATTCTTTATAATTAGATTGAATATATGCAAACAGTATCTTATAGAAATAATATTTAGATACTTTTTCTATAATAA